GGCCGACAGGCACATGAAAAGAAGCTCCCTATCACTAATCATCAGGGAAACGCAAATTAAAACCACAATGAGATACCACCTCTCACCAGTCAGAACGGCCACTATCCAAACGACGAAATAACAAGTGTTGGTGAGGCTGTGGAGAAAAAGGAGCCCTCCTACACTGCTGGTGGGAATGCACCACAGTGGTGCAGCCACTGTGGAAAGCAGTATGGAGGTTCCTCAAAAAATTAAAAATATAAATACCATATGACCCAGTAATTTCACTTCTAGGAATTTACCCAAAGAAAACAAAATCCCTGATTTGAAAAGATACATGTACCCCTATGTTTATCGCTGCATTATATACAATAGCCAAGACATGGAAAAAACCTAAGTGTCCATCAATAGATGAATAAAGATGTGGTATGTATAAACAATGGGATATTATTATTCAGCCATAAAAAAGAAATCCTACCATTTGCAACAACATGGATGGACCTAGAGGGTATTATGTTCAGTGAAATCAGCCAGGCGGAGAAAGACAAGTACCATAAGAAAATATTATGTCACTTATTTGTGGAATATAAAAACAAAGCAAAGCAGAATGAACAAAACAGCAGTAGACTCACAGACACTGAGAAGTGACTGGTAGTTACCATGGGGGAGGGGTTGGGGTGGTGGGTGGCGAGGGTGAGGGGGATAAAGGGGCACAAAATGCTCAATCATAATGTAAGTTGGTCACAGGGATGGTAGCACAGCATGGAGAATATGGTCAGCGATTCTGTAACAAGTTCCTGTTGACACATAATAACCGCACTAGAGCGGGTGAGGATTTAACAGTGTGGGTAACTGTTGTATAGTTGAAACCAATATAAGACTGTATATCAGTGATACTTGAATTAAAAAAAAACAACAAAAAAAACCAACCAGGAGTGTGTTATGTGGGAGGGAGGTATTAAATATTTTTGGCAATGGTTTATGATGGTGTTGTGGTTATTTTTATATTAAAGCAAACATACAACACAGATGACCCTTAAGAACATGATGATAAGTAAAATAAGCCAGCCACAGAAAGACAGACCTTACGTGATACCGCTTCTCTGAGGCACCTGGAGTCACATTTATAGACACAGGAATAATGGTGTTTGTCGGGAACTTAGTGTTTAATGGGGACAGTTTCAGTTTTGCAAAATGAGGACAGTCCAGAGATGGGTGGTGGTGGTGGTCATACATCATGAATGTGTGTAATGACATTGAAGGATACACATAAAAATGGCTAAGATGGTAAATTCGACATTGCATGTATTTTACTAGAACAGAACATTTATCTATTTATTATGAAACAAAATTTAAACTTTTTAGGTTTTGAAAATGTCAAAGACATTTCTGCCTGTGGCTGCCACTTTGGGCTGGTCCTAGACCCTCAGGGTCTCTCATGTTCCTCTTTTGTTTGAGCAGCTTTAGTTAGAAAATTTACTAGTGCTGTCAGACTCTGCATTTTACAGAGGAGAAAACTTAGGCCCAGGGAGATGACCTAGTTCAACAGAAGGGGCTCCCCTGCCCCTCTGTCCTGGGGCAAGGGCACAGGCTCTGGTATCAGATCCCCCACCCCCACCCCCACCCCCAGATGGGGGCAGCCTCTCCCACTCTCTTGCTGTGTGTCAATCTGGAATCTATACACACCTCCTCGAAGTTTCCATTTCTCACCTGTAAAAGGCGAATAACAGGCCCCTACTCCCAGGGTGGGGTGTGGATGACCGGAGACACTGGTGGGCTCAGCATAGTGCCTGAGGCAGATTAACAGTGAATGCTCAATGGATATTGGTTTTATGGGGCAAGTACATTACTCTGGGGCTTTTCTTGGTTAAATGAGGGGTGAGTCAACGTACTAAGAACTGCACTGTCCTTTATTCCTCCTGCATTCAACGTGGTACTACTGACCCAAGACAAACCATACACTTCTCAAGATGTGACCAAACCATGCCCTAGGGGAGGAATCCTGTTTGGATTCAACCCTGACCACTTATTTATAAATACTGGGTCTCTTCGATGGATACAGCCAATTAACTTCAGGCTCCACACACTCCTGCATAGCCTCATAAACAAGGATGAAATTGGTTAATGTTTGTTCTTACTTAAAACCCAAAATTTGTTCCCATACATGTGCCTTGTTTAGATCATCCTGCATGGAAATCCCCTCCTGTGGTCCCCTAATCCACCCATTATTTCATTTATTCACTCAACATGTATTGGGAAGCTCTCAGGAGCCCAGGACGGGAGGGTGGATTCCCCCAACCAGCTCCCTCTTAGTACGCGGGCCCACTCACCCGCAGACCCCCAGTGGCAGGACGCCCAGTTGGGGGTCTGGGTGGATGGCTGGGAGGCAAGGCTGCCCTAGTCTGCGTGAATTTGACCACCTTGCCTCCCCTCCTCTGGCTCAGAGGTATCAGTAAACAGGACACTTCCCTCTGCCAGCCTCCTTGTCCAGGGAGCTGTCTGTGGACAAAGGCAGTTTGGGCTGAGAATAACAAAGGATGTGTGTGGAGGGGGAGCTGCAGGAACGTCAAACCGCAGGGAAATGGAAGTAGGCTCGTGAACCCCCACCAGTGGGAGACAGAACCTGAGCAGCACAGCCAGGGAGGGAGGGGCTTGGCCTGCAAAAACCTGCTGGGGGCGGGCAAGCCAGGCAGGGGCTGCCAGAGCAGCTGGGTTGGCCCAGCGCCCAGTGGACAGATGGGGCCAGACTTGTCTCCAGCCCCAGGGGCGGGGGCCCTCTGAGGGGCGGCCAGGCCTGCCCTCCTCCTCCACCAAATGGCTGGAGCATTGCCAGGAGAGACAGGCAGAGCCTTCCAAGAAGCCAGGGGCTCATGGGGAGGGAACCCAGATCACCACAGACCGGCTCCCTGGGGCCAGGGAGAGCAGAGGCAGCCTCCAGACCTGGTCTGGGGTGAGCTCCAATGGGGACAGGGCCTCTGGGCCAGATCACCAGCCTCCTCTCACAAAATGTTTACCAGTGCATTTGACTTAAAAGCAAAATCAAGTCATGCAACAATTACCAAATGCACGGAGCGCCTTGGTGAATCACATCTTTAATGACAGAAGTTGCACAATCACTTGTGACAGGACTTATCTCATGAATTTGTAATGCAAGAGGGGAAAGGGGCATTCCAATCCTTGCCTGTTAGAAAGGGTTCCCCAGTATTACTTGCTACATGTGGACAGTGGCAGGGAGAGGACCTGGGTTCCTGTGTCTCCCTCTCCTGGGGCTCTGGGGTCACTGACATGGGCCCATCTGACCATAAGGGGTACCCGGCTTAGAATGCAGTATCCTCCATCGCCAGAGTCAAACGCCAGACCATCAGTAGCATTTTACCCCAAGGCAGGCTGGCTTCTTGCAGGCTGGCTTCGTTGCTGAAGGCCCTTAACAAAAATCCACAGAGTTCCCTTCTCAACACCCAGGGAATTAACTTGAGAACCGGGGGGAGCCATGTTAAGAAAATGTGAAGTCTGATGCAGCTCTCCCAGCGCTGCCCCAGAGAGCAGACACTCTCCTCGGCTCTCAGATTGTGTCCTAGGGCCCTGTGCAGGTTGCCCAGGACAGTAACATCCCTCCCCTACTTAGGGGTGTACAGTCCTCAAGCCTGATGAAATTTTCAAACTGGAAGACATCCTGGATGGCTAAGAGCCCTGAACTAGGAGGGAAAGGGACCAGGGAAACTGGGCTGGGAGGCTCAGAAACAAGGCTTCTGAGGCTGATTTCCATCGCAGCCAGGTGGCGAGGAGGTCATTTTCAACATTTCAGAAAATCGGAAGAAATCACATATTCACATCTGACTGAGACATCTCACTGAACAATTAAGCTTGATGCTTTTCTATGGCTTATGTAAGTAAATCTGATTAGGAAGCAGAAAAACAAGTATTACCTAATGAGTTATAGTTCCTGGTGGACAAAACCTGAAATCTATGTGTAGGATAAAGTCCCCAAGATCTCAGTTTCCTGAACAGGTATGAGACTACGTGTCCATCACTGATAGCCATGTCCGGGGGGGATGCAACCCCCCTACCAAGACCTCACCTAAGTTCACATATTTAAATATAGTGTCACTGTATTTGCCCAGCTCCCAGCGTTGTTTCTACTTCCACATCATCCTTGTACATTTATCTTTGAGTTCAGTGGCTCTTGACTAAATCTGTTGCCCAAGGAAACTAATCACAATCAAATTCTACCTGTAGTCCACCTCCAGGTATGTTATTAAAGGGTAGCAAAATCTGTTCCTCCCTTGCACGAGGAATTTACTTTGGGTTACTATATAATTAAAACAATTTTAGAACAACAACAAAAAAAAACAGGCAGCAAGAGGATGTCATCCGTTCTCCAAAATCAGGAAGGAAGGAATATGTGGGAGACATAGTGGGAGAATTAGGACTCCTACAAACCTAGTTTCTGAGGCTCTTCCACTTTTCCCCTTTAGAGCGCACGGCGTAACAGGCACAGAAGGGCCAGCCCATGGCACAGTAGCAATCTTTGTCAAGAACAAGAGGGCCCTGTGGCTGAAAGGCCCCTGTGCTCAGTCAGGTCATCCTCCTCCCTGGTTTCTACAAGTCACCTATTGAAGGATGTATATTCTAGGCAAATATGGAAACAGATTTATTTAGCTAAGCGGATTTTCCTCTGGATAAATCACCTTAATTCAAAAAACAGGTGTCTCCCACACATTTCTTCCTTCCTGATTTTGTTTTTCTTTTTGTCAAATTCTTATTCTTCTTTTTCCCAAACTTGGTTCACACCTTGTTTCTGGAGAAACTCTGATCTCAAACCCTGTCTTTTATGATCCCTCCTTTAGTCTGCATTCCCTTTCAATGATGTAGGGGTCGTGTACTTGCCTGAACTCAAGCATGTTGTTATTTCACCGTTAACCAGACCCTAAGCTGTTGATGGGCAGGGTCTCCCCAACCCCCACAGCACACAGAGTCCTCCCAGAGAGAATGGCTTGGCTGCAGAAAACTATGGTACTTACCTAATGATGTAGGAAATCTGGCCTCATTACTCTTGCTTCTCAGTCCTGCTTGGGGGCATTCTCCATCCTCAAGAGCACCAGTCAGGGCCCCTAAAAATTTGAAACCTCTCCCAGCTGATGAGGATGACTCATGATGCCTCTGAGGTAGACTCTAGTGACACTACCTGCAAGATTCACAAAAGCAAATGATGCCTCTGATTCCCAAAGGAGGGCATGAACACCTTCCCTGCTTCTTGATGCCGTTAGCCAGTGCAGCCAGGAACACATCCATCTCTTACACACTGCTTCCGAAGGCAATGGCCAACTTTGGTTTTTCCACAACCAACTTATATCCAATCAATACTTCCCAACATAGTGTACACTATTCAGTATTTCTAAACAAAAAGTTTTATAGAGTTGGAAGATAGGGTGAAAAGTTTTATAGAGTTGGAAGATAGGGTGACAGAATAATTTATGCTCCACGAGGTCAGTAACAGTAATGCTTTTTTCATTGACGTGACCTACATGATTTTTAAAAGATAATCCTTTAGGACATAAAGTATCGAAATATCTGCATTGTACTAGAACATACCTATCCTCTAAGTTCTTGTTTGACAGTTGCTAACATCAATTTGAGTTGGGTATTTTCTAGAAAAAAAAACCTTTTTCAGGAACTAAGCATTACAATTAGTTTTTTTGAGACTTTCCATAAATAGATTTAATATTGTACACTTCAGAGGTGTGGCCTGCTATAACCTGTACCAGTTTACTATGAGTGAGGGATTGAAACAATGCATGTTTCTAAATGGCTCCCTGATAACTGCTTTCCGCCGTTACACATTAATACTTGGCTGTAAGAAAACTAGCACAGCTGGACCTGTGCAATCTTTATTAATCTGACAAGTACTGGAAAAGTCTGCAGCCATTTATCAAAATTGTATCTTACCAAGAATCTGAAAGGTGTTTTACAAAGATGTATTCACAGTCTGAGTCACATACGAAGCAGTGTCTGTAGCAGCAAAAGCCAGACAACGAACACGAGAGTAAATGATCCTACTGGAATGGCCTCCCAACACCTCCAGGTATCCGTTAAACAAGACAATCCTGTACTGGCTTCACTTTTCAGTTGATACTGAAGCTGCCCTCTTGCAACAATTACTTATTTTAAAAGAAAAATTGCTTTGGGGGAAATCTTTCCTTCTTCACAGATGGGGCTGAAGTGCTAACAACACATTCCCGGGCCCACGGTTGACCCAACTACTTCCTCAGGGAAATGCTGCAGCTGCCAGAGGCTCTGGAAAATGGCTTTGACATTCAAGACAGGGGTTCTTTTCAGCACCAGGCTGATTTTTAATATGTATATCTGAGGTATTTTCCTACGGAGAGGTCTGTTCAGATGATGCCATCCCAATGATTCAGGACGTGAGCGTGCCGACAGTCTCACCTGTGCTCTGCTCCGCAGTTTCAATGAGGGTTGTGCAGAGCTGAAATGATTGTTTGTAACCTCCTGTGTCTTGGGAATTTAAAAAGAGGCAAGATGACCACAAGGATCACTTCTGGACTCAAACTGATGATGATGACAGTTTCATCCCAGGGCAAAATCTAATGTCCAGTTTTCAGGTCTCTTCCCAAACTCAGTGTTCAGGACTCCCTTGGGGGTGAGAAGACACACAGGGCACACTTTCTTATAGACTATCCAAAAGCAAATTTAGAGAAAAAGGCATACTTTACTCAAAAGACTGTTTTCTGGAAGCATCAAGTCACCTTTATTAACATCAATTTTGTAAGCCCTCAATGGTGGTAACCATGAAAAGGGGTTGATAAGTACCCAGTATTTTAGCAAAGTTAAGGAAGGCAGAAACCAGAGAACAAGAAACTGCAGCTGCATTCTAAGGATAGATCTTATTCACCGTTGCATCTTTAGACTCTAGCACCATGCCAGGAACAGGGAACACACTTAACAAACCTCTTGCTAGTAGTTTCTGAGCTCTTTTTCTTCCAGGCTAGATCACAAGTAGGCAAATATGTGAGGCGAGGCACTGGCGGGGTCAGGATCAGAGGCTTTCCTGAGGAAGCCTCTGACCCTGCAAGATCTTATGTGGTAGCTTAGTTTCTGCCTCACATTCTACAAATTACAACCAAGACTACATGTATGAAGTTTTTTTGAGTCAAGTAAAGGACAGCTGATGCTACATATTACTTGTTTGGGCATTTGTTATGGAAGGAGGATCCCAAAAAATTGGGATCCAGGAGTTTACAAGTAAAAAACACTTTAGTTGTTGCTTCTATGGTGAAATCAATTGTTCTATGATTTTTTTTTCTAAGTTGCTTTGAAAGTTTCTATTTTTTCTGGCCAAGAAATTTTATCATTGATAGTAAGAGCCATGATCTGAGGACCACATACTAACCTAGTGAGAATCAAAACCAGGAAAGTGAGCCCTTCCTCTTGGAGAACATTCTAGAAATCTTACAAATTGGGCTGGTATTTCGATTGGCTAGTTTCTAGCCACATTCTGTATATAAGCACTTCATTCTATAAGCCAGTCAGACTCGGACGTCAGTGGTCACACTTCTTCCTACTGTCCTGCCCCTTTTTCCTAAGTAGACAGCCTGGGCTGGTGGTACTTTATCATCATGTGTGTTCACCCAGCTCCACAGCCACCCCCTTGCCTGTGTGTGAGGGTACAGCCTCAGTGGAATTGCTACTGCTTTCTCTAGTGACAATCCATTCCCCATGGTAAAAGACCAGCATTTTGCTTTTTCAGAAACAACTGACTAAAGCTCAAAGGAAAAGTCCTTGAGCATCTGAGGTTGACAATTTAAAGAAATGTGTTCTCTCTATGCTGAGATGTGGCTCCATCTTGAAGACAATGACAGACTTACTGCAATCTTTCTACACAGGACAATAGGTAGGACGGATTTACACACACACACACACACATCCTCTTCTGAGATGAACCTTTCATGAAGGGTACAGCACAGTTGGGACTCTTACACAAAAAAACTGCTCTGTATCAGGGCTCCCTGAAAGCTGCTTCAAATCAAACTGGTGTTTGGGTGGCTGTGGTTGTCGAATTGTGATTCACTTTAGAAGTTAATAACAATGCTGCCGCATTTCTGAGGAAAGAGAGTACTGGCAAAAGGCATTAAATGAAAAACCAGAGGAGCTACTCCGGAAAGCCCCACTCTCTTTCCATAGCTCTTCTCTTGCAGTTCTCCACTGCCTAATATAAGCCAGCATTTTATTGAATGCTCAGGTTAGTGATAGCACACCACTCCTAAAGTTAGTTTCTTGTAAGAAATATTCCAAGACAGACAACAAATATCCTAAACTCCAAGGAGAACCCCAAACCAGATATTATGATAGGCTGGAGAGAAAGTGGCAGGAAAAAGAAGAAAAGCTGGTTTTTTTTCAGCCGCAGTGGGGAACTAAGTTTCTAACAAATGCTTAGCCTGATCACCATGCCAAAGGGTTGTCTGGTAAAAGAAGGGTGTGCCCTGACAAAGCTTCATTTAGGTGTCATGTGCCCACAGGCTGCCAGCTCTGTTCACATGCACAGTCCCGATGAACTGCACAGGGCTTGGGTGCCCTGCCCAGTTCACACACAGGGATATAGGAACAAAAGGTAAGGCAGAAGGGAAACCATAGAACTCCCATGGCGAGGGTCGTGGAGGATACCTTGGCGTTCCCCTTCCCGTCCGCCTGCGGGACATTAGGCTCATTTTGTCCCACTGGCTGTTGGAGGTCCGCTCTTTCTTCTCTGGGCAGCTGGCTCCCTTCCTGACACTAGGTTCTCCCACAGCCCACGAAGAGAAATAATGGCTTTCTCCTAACTCTTGCTCTCTGCTGGTACAACAGATTCATAAACTTTATAAACCACCAGCTTTTGGCTATTGGTACAAACTCTGACATACTGTCAGAAAATGGCTTGTGATAAAAAAAGAAAAATCGGAACAGAAAGTTCTCTTCACCAGCCATCTTACTCTTCTTTAATTCTACTGTCTTTGGGCACATCTTATTTGCTGTTGGAGATATTACAACAGCAAGGCTGATGGCACTTACTCATAACACGTTCTTTGTTCCACACAGAGTAAAATCCTGGAATAACCGGATCGTCTGCTGTCACAGCAGAGCTGTCTTATTTGCTGTATAAGAGAACTGCTAATGGGCGGAGGGAAGGGAGGGATGGAAAACAACAGAAGCATCTGGGGGCAAGTGAGCCTATAAACATGTCTAGAAATTAGAAACTTGGTGGGAAACACAGAATCTACCTAAGGTTGATAGGGAATTCTTTCATTATTTCCAGAAAGTACTGAATTTGGAACCTGAGGTTAAGACTTTAAAAGAAAAAGCAACCTCAAGTAAGTTTAGACTGGCCTTGGGAAGAAATGGCAACCAGAGATGGTAATGAGTTTCAGTGCCTGAGAACAAAAACCATCAAAATCAACCTACACATCTGACTTGACTCAAGGTGAAAAAAAAAGTCTGATTTAAAAATGGTAAGTCTGCAGCAGCAAAGTCTGACAGTGAGAGTTAGATCTCCTCTTCACCTTTCTACATTGCTCCTGGTGCCTGCTATCCTGACAGTACCTCTGAAAAGGTTCAGAATTCAATACAGATTTATTAGGTTGATTTTCAACATGTAGTTGTAAGAGGAAGAGTCCTGTTTGGTTGAAACCACTTCATTTAGCCTCTTGGTAATGGTAGTCCTGAGAGTCTGCAGTGTTGGTAAAGTCCACCTGTGACCAAGGGCCCAACCACTAGTGGGAGCAGAGCAACTTCTTGGCCCATCCTTTGTCCTTGTTCTTGTCCTCAAATCTGGTAGTTTCTGCACTGAGGGATTCAGTCCACCATGACGACATACATTCAAAACCGTTTTCTGTAGACAGCTCCCTCCTTCCAATGCCCAATATATTAGTGCAGGTGGTCAGGAAGACTTGGAAGGAAGCTGCAAAAGAGGTCCAGCTGGGAATCTTGACTTTGTTAGATGTGGACAGAGGAAAATCACCTTTGTCCTCCCCATATTTTATCATAGTCAAAGGAGAAAAATCCATGGGATTCTAATTGCAAATAATGCTAGATATAAAACTGATGGAATGCTAATTGGTCCATAAAGGGCTGCACAAGATAATCTGTGGCAAAGTAGAAAACAAGCCCAAAGGTGATAGAGATTGGAAGAGCTGGCAATGCTTTCTTGAAAATGGCGAGGAGTAATAATGTAAGGCACAAACCCTGTGGAGAAGAGGGAAAAAGACACAAAGTCAAATATATTTCATGCAGAACAATTCAATCACAAGTCTTGGCCTTGATTTAGTTAACTGAATACTACTCTTTGAGGTTTAATTGTAGAACGAATGTTTTCATTAAATCTAGAAACAGCATTTATTCTCCTTTGCAACCGGAGTTCACCATGCACAACTGTTGATATTTCATTCCCTAACTCTAGGTAAAGAATAGAATCTGAAAGTAAAACCATTAAAAAAAAAATTAAATAGTATTGAAATTTCTATTTAAAATACGGACTTGGCTATAGCAAATTTGGTATGGCTGGCTAAAATCCCAGAGGCGAAGAGCATTTTTGTGCTGTGTAGGGGCAAGGAGATGCTCACAGGATAAACCGATAAAAGTTTGTGAGGAGTACACAGGTTTCCCCTGCTACCAGGAAGCTGAGTGTTCCTATGAAATGGCGTAAAGCGCAAAGTTATCTCCCAGCCTATCCCTGCTTTCTCAAAGTTTGAATTACACTTCACCTTCATGAGACACTTACGTTAGCACCTGGTTTTCACTTAATAGAAGAAATCCAAAAAGGATTTTTTCTTTTATGAAAGAAGCCCTTACTGTACTAATGTAGATCTTTGCAAATGTGAGTGGTGGAACAAGAACTTTCAGAAAGTGGGGGATACCTATATTGCTTTCTGGTTAAACACAGAACAGCCATATAATAGAGCCAATTTTTTTCCCTAGTTATTGAGACACTAACTATAAAGTGGGGAGGCTAAGCATTACTTCAGTTTTATCCAGAAAAAGCAACTTCATTCTTAAAAGAAGGTATCTAGAAAACTAACCTGAAGAGAAATAAAATACATGAAAATTCAAACTGGTTCTATTATGGTAAGTCACAAATGCCTAAGTATAGGCTCTCGTCTCACCTCTCACCTAACCCACTCACATATCAAAGATATCATCACATCTTTAGCTAAAACAGCAAAAGAAAATATGAGTTATTTGCTTAAATATGAGAGCTTCAGGGTTCATGCCATGGCACTCTGAACAAGACCTACATGGGATCACACATTCTGTTGGCTTTTCTTGTGCCACACGTGCTACCCAAAGGAACACTGGAAGCTGCAGGCTGTGACTTACACACAAAACCACCACCCATCTCTGGGACTATGGGAGGATCTGCTTACCCCTTTAAGACTGATCTAGCACAGCTAACTTCATATATATCCATGCTGCTGGCTTTGAAGCAGTGGCTCCTAATCAAAGGTACTTAAGAGAATTTCCTGGGAAACTTTAAAAAAAATACACAGAACAAATTAAGTAAGAATACCTCAGGACAAGGACAGTTTTAAAAGCTCCCAGGTAATTTTAAAGTGACCAAGTGGAGAACTACTCAGGAGAGGCCCAATAATCTGTTTTAAAAAGCTCCCCAAGAGATTGGAACACTCAGCCCAGCTGGACAAGGTAAAAGGGGCAGTGTAACCAGTTTTGAGGTGAGGTGTTCTGACACATTTTTATTAGTGTATACTTACAATTAATATGGCTACAAAACAGGCTATGGTCGTATTCCAGTCTCCACTGGCTGTTGCAGAAGCTTTACCAACCAGAACACTGTAGAATATGAAATCTCCTAAACCAAGTTTCACTCCCCCTAAACAGGAAAGATTACAAAAATAAAAGTTTGTCACTATTTGCTATGCTTTCACAATTCAAAAAAATCCCTACAGCACTCCATCCTGCAGTGAATGGGGAATCAGTAAATGATAACATATAAAATCAGGCTTTACTCTTCTTTGCTTTTCTACAAGAGGAATTTCAGATTCTATGTGGTTCACTCTGGGGTCTTAACAGTAGATGCTGCTGTTATACGTAAAAAGTAGTAACAGTAAGTAATAATTGTCATGTATCGAATGCTTAATTTATACCTGGCACTTGTTCTAATAAATCCTAAGAACCCCTCCAAGACAGGTATTATCACCTTAAAAAAAACCCCAAAAAACAGCTTTGCTGAGGTAAAATTTATTTCATAAAATTCACTCATTGTAAATGTACAATTCAATGACTGCAAAAAAACTACAGAGTTGTGCAGCCATCACCACATCCACCATATTGCCATCAGACCAGTAAGACACACTGTGCCCATTTTCAATTAACTCCCACTCCCACCCTAGGCCTTAAGCAACCCCTGATCTGCTTTGTATCTCCATAAATTTGCCTTTTCTAGACAGTTCATAAAAATGCACTCAGATACTATGAAGTCTTGCATGACTGGCTTCTTTCACTTAACATGGTATTTTTGAGGTTTATTGATAATATTGCATGTGTCTGTAGTTTGTTGCTTTTTACTGATGAATAGTTTTCCATTGTGTGTATGTACTCTATTTTGTTTATTTGCCAGTTGATGGATGTTTGGATTGTTTTGTTTTTGGTTATTATGAATAATGCTGCTATAAACATCAGTGTACACATATTTGTGTGGACATTGTTTTTGTTTCCATTGGGTAGACTCCTAAGAGTAGAAATGCTGGGTTACATGCTAAGTTTATCTTTAGCTTTTTAAGAAAATGCCACATTGTTTTTCTTCCTGGCTGTACCAGCTTACATTCCCATCAGTGGTGTGTGAAGGTTCCAGTTTCCTCACATCCTCACCAACACTTGGTATAGCTAGTCGTTTTTATTTTAAAATTTTGTTTTTTTATTGAGCTCTAACAGACATATAATAATGCCCTGTTAATTTTCAGGAGTACAGCAGTTATTCGACACTTTTATAATTATGAATGAGCCTCATGATGAAAAGTTCGCTGTCGCCAAAGCCATTACAGTATTATTGGCTGTATTCCTTACGCTGTATGTTACTCCCCATGACTTACTTGTAACAGGAACTAGTCTTTTTGGTTATAGCCATTCTGATTAATGATGCTGAGTATCTTTTCATGTGCTTATCAGCTGTCATCATTCCTCCTTTGGCGAAATGCCTATCCAAAACTTTCCAGTGTTTTCACTGGGTTATTTTCCCATTACTATATTGTAAACATTCTTCATACATGCTAAATACAATTCTTTAAAAGGATGGCAGTATTACTGCAAATATTCTCTCTCAATCTGTGGCTTCCTTTCCTTTTCTTAAAGGTATTTTTTTTTAATTGTGGTAAAATACACAAGGCATTTGCACTGACATGCTGCCATCACAATCATCCATCCACAGAGCCCTTCCCTTCTTGCAAAACTGAAACTCTGTACCGAGTGAACACTAACTCCTCTAGCCCAGGCAGCTATCGTTCTCCTTTCCGTCTCTGAGTGGTTGCTGTATGTGCTCCATACAGGTGGAGTCACACAGTACTTGTTCCTTTGTGACTGGCTTATCTCACTTTGAACGTCTCCAAGGCTCATCCACATTGTACACACTGTAGCATGTGCTAGAACTTCTTTTTTAAGGCTAATATTCCAGTGTGGATATATATCTACCACATTTTCTTTATACATTCATCTGTCAAGGGCCATTTGGGTGCTTCCACCTCATGGCTATGGTGAATAATGCTATAAGCACAGGTGTACAAATACCTTCTTCTCTTAGTAGTATCTTCTGAAGTGCAAACGTTTTTAATTTTGACAAAGTCCAGTCTATCAGTATTTTTCTTCTTTGTATCAGTGTTGAAGAACTCGGTTCAACCCAAGCTCAGGAAGCTTTTCTCTTGTTTTCTTCTAGAAGTTTTATAGTTTTATCACTTATATTTTAGTTTACAATCCATCTTCAGTCAATTTTTCAATGTGTGCATGATGGATAGGGTGACACAGGCACTTCCGTTTATTCTTTTGCATGTGGATATCCAATTGTCCCAGCACCATTTGTTGAAAAGATTATATCCTATTTCCACTGAATTATTTTAGCTCTGTTGTAAAAAATCATTGGCCATAAATGTAAGGGTTTACTTCTAGACTCTCAACTCTGTTCTGCTCATTTAGTATGGCTGTGCTTGTGCTTGTCTTAATTACTGTGACCTCAGAGGAGATCTTGAAATCAAATAGTGTAAGTCCATCAACATGTTTCTTCTCTTTCAAAACTGTTTTGGGTATTCTAAATTCTTTGTAATTCCAACTAAATTTTAGGATCAACTTGTAGAAACTGACAAGCTAATCCTAAAACTTACATAGAAATGCAAAGGCCCTAGGTGTTCTGTTGTCAAACATTATTTTTAACCTTACAAGTTCTTTTCAGAATGATAATCAATCAAGGATTAAACTATGGATTCAAAAGATATGCTTTGACTTAGGGTCCAATATTAATCTATAAAGCTTTTAGCTTTCTGGTTGTTAAGTAATTATGCCTGAAGTTTGATTCTGGTCTTAAAGTTCTGTTGCCTGGGTTTGAGAAACCATTTCTGACACATAAGGGGCTGAGGGCCCTGAGAAGTATTCTCTGCTCCACATGATGGTAATAAAGAAGCAGAGGGCTGGTTAATAAGATGTTATGAGAAACCACTGTTCTTAAATCATGGAAGCCAGAATAAAATCTTCCTTAGTGGAAAAGATAAGCATATGACCCATGAAATCCAATGCTATGAATAACAGGGTTAGGAACTCTTTAACTTGCTAACCTTCCTGGACTTATGAATACACTCACCAGTTTCGGTGTGCAGAAGAGCCCAGCTCTACTACTTAAGTACTTGTGTGATCCACAAGTGGACTAACTTCTTTAATCCTCAAATTCCTCCTCAGTTATAAGATGGGGATTACACAGCTATTTCATAGGGTCACTATCAGAATTAAAAATAACATAGTGAAGGTTTATGGCACATACAGAGACTAAACAAATGCCAGCCTTAGAAAGACTTTTGATTACAAATACAAAATGCTATAAGAAACTAAGTTCTTCAGAAAAAAATAAAAAGTAAAAAAGATAATACTGGTGAAAACAACTGGATTTACCTGATAAATGACTTGTATCTAGAATATACAAAGAACCATTACAACTCAATAATTAAAGACAAAAAATGGGAAAAGGGTCTAAATAAACAGTACTCCAAAGAAAAGAGCAAAAGACCAATAAGCACACAAAAAGATACTCAACTTATTATTCCACTCCTAGGTATATACCCAAGAGAAATAAAAACATGTCCACACGATAACTTGTACATGAATGTTCATAGCAACATTATGCATAATAGCCCCAAATGGAAACAACCCATTAACTGATGAATGAGTAATACTGATGAATGATATCCATGAACTGATGAATGAATAATATATGTGGCACATCCATACAATGGAATATTTGGCCATAAAGAGAAATTAAGTACTGATACATGCCACAACAGAGATGAACCTTAAAAACATTAAACTAAGTGAAAGAAACCAGTACAAAGGACTAGATATTATATGATTATTCTATTTATATGAAATGTCCAGAATATACAAATCTATTAAGATGGCATTTATTAGTGTTGGAGGGCGTGAGGGCTAATGGCTATAAGGTTCTTTGTGAAAATGTTCTGAAATTCACTTGCAATGGCTGCACAACTCTCAATACTATAAAAACCACTGCATGGTAAACTTTAAATGGGGAGATGGGATGGTTTGGAGAGGTAACAGCTAAGGAGTGTGGGGTTTCTTTCTGAGGTAATGACAAGGTTCTAAATGTGCTGATGGTTGAATAATTCTGTGACTCTACTAAAGACACAACTTTAAATGGGTGAACTGTACACTAAGTGAACTATGTATCAATAGAGCTATCAAAAATAAACAAAAATACTGTACTAAAACCTAAAATTATGGCCTCACTTTTCTTTTTTCATTTAAAGGCCTATGTCTGCTTAAATAGCAATATGTAAATAATATAGTTATAAGTCACAGAATTAATTTAAATACAAAGAGAAATGTAGATATATCAGTAAAATTCAAAGAGTAAGGAAACGAAGTAACCATCAATTTTTTTTCTTTAGACACTTACTAAAGTGAGAAGTTGGATTTACCTATGACCAGAACAGACTCCATCAGTATATAAAACTTAAGAAAATCATCTTGCTCAGAAATTTGATTTCTTTAAACAGCTCCTTTTGATTTACTCAGTCAAAACATGCCATGACTAAATAACTACAACCATAGCAATGGAAACTGCTTAAGTTAGACGTAATGAGTTAATAATACTCTACTGGCAAGTGTTAATGTTGAGACTGGCTGCTAGTATTTTACTACTATTTCCTAATAGTAGTCTAGGCTTTCTATTGTTCTGGCAAACTGAAAAATAATTTAAGTAATTATGGTGTTCCTTTAATATTAAAAGGGGCATTTGATAGTCTACCAAACATAAGACATGGTAAAAACCATAGATGATGGTGAATATGTAATTTTAAGATTTCTCTAAATGGCTTCTAACAGCATATGTGCCTACTTAAATATAATAACATAATAAAACAATATTTCCTATTATCTTTCTGATAAATACAAACATGTTAAAAACTGACTGATATTTACTATTTTACCTTTTCATTACTAAAATTTCTTCCTCCACTTGAAGAAAATAGCAAAGTCCATCTCCCTCCCTTTTTTAAGGTTATACAGAAATTAATGTCTATGAGTCAAATTTCCACTCCTGGAAACAACAGGTTAATTTCACAACTCTGATAAATTTTAAGTCTGCCAGTAGTATACTCA